CAGTCAGTTCCACATCCTGCTTTCTGCTTCATTGCCTTGTGAGTATCCATAGCTTTCTGTCTGTTGATTTATCAGTGGGTGATTAATCTTCTTTCTCCTGTCAATTTTCTTTATAGAAAAGCATGCCAAGGTATGAGTTGCTTTTTAGTGTTTGAAAACAAACCTGCTCTGAGCTGTGTGAACAAATCCAATGACTGAGTTAAAGGATTCTTCACGTGTGACTGTAATACAATTTTTGGAAACTGTTTCATTCATTCATTTTATATTTGCCTTGTGTGAGCTGTGGAGTTGAGATGGATGCTTGAAGAAGCTGGGAGCAGAATCCTGGTTCTGTGCTGGGAGAGTTCCATGGGAATTCAGAGGATGAGGCCTTTGGCACAGTAGCTGCTTTTTAAAAACAAACAACCTCCCCCAATCTCTTCCTTCCCACTGCCCCCAGCTGTTTCTTTAGCAGATACAAATGAGTGCTAGAAGCAGGCAGATTTCCAGAATTACTGGCAAGCATCAGAGCTCATTGAAGGCAGTGTAGTCACAGCAACTGGGGAGAGCAGCTGTGCCCATAACAGCTAAAATGTGATGAGAAAAATACAAATTTTGCACTTGGTTAATGGGAAAAAGAAACAGTTGATTTAAGAATGTCTCAGGCAAAGTCTGCATTTTTTTAAAAAACCCCACCGCCGACAAAAGAAAACAAAAATCAACCAAACAACCCTTGCCCTCAAAAAAAAAAAAAGGCAAAAAGTACAACACTACCTCTTCCTCTTCAACGCTCTTCTTAAATTTGAACTGCAGTTAGACAAATCAGATGAAAAATTGCAAGCAGTTTTAAGTGGCAAATCTCAATTACTGCAGTAAACTATAGTTTTAAAGTTTTACTTTAAAAACAAGATAGAGTTTTTGCAGAGAAATTGGTTTGTTCAAGGGCATTTTGTGGCAGAAGCTGAATTACACTGCAAGTGTCACTTCATCTCTCTGCTGTGGTAGAACTGCAGGGCAATGCTTCAAAGGTAGCAGAGCTTGAGGCATGGATGCAGTTACTGGGTTTTAACACAGTTGAAGATACAATATTTGTATGACTGCTTCTTATAGAAGTTTTTTTCCTATTTTTCAAATGTGGTTGCCTGTACTATTTTGATCCATAAGAATGCCAGTCATGACTGTGTAAACTGTAGAGGGGAAAATAAAAAATGGAAAGTTAATAAGCCTTTTCTCTTTGGCATTTCAGTGCCACTTCAAGAAGATGTTCTGTGGACCAAAAGTGATTGGAATTTCACATCTGACTAAATTTTTTTTCTTCTTCTTCCTTAGGATGTTTTGTACACTGTGTGCAACCCGGTTGGAAAAGTTCAGCGCATTGTTATTTTCAAGAGAAATGGAATACAAGCCATGGTTGAATATCCTTTTTGAGTGTGATTTTTGGTTTTTTTGGCTGTAGGTTCTTGACTCCAAATGGGTTTAACATAAGAATGTCAGAAAAATACCATTGATTTTGAGACCGGATTATTTCTTAATTTCTGTCTAAGACATGGTAACTTTTAATTTTTGTCTGTCTGTAAGACAAGGTAGTACTTACACATTTAATCTTTGTAGGAAAATGGCATTGTCAACAGTGGTCTTGCTTACCATATTTATTGGCCCTCAGACCTCATAATTGCAGACATGAATTATATAATAGCTTTGATAACCCCTTGTATGCACACTTATACACAAAGATTTTATGTTTTCTGACTTTGTTGATACTCAAGAAATGGGTAAAGGTTTGCAGAGGTGCAGTTTGTCTTCTTCAGACTCTTCTAAAATAGTCTCAGTATATAGTGCTTATCTTACTATTTTGACTTTATTAAAGTAAAGGCCAGCTTAGGCATCCTTGACTTTGATGCTTAGGAATCCTCTATTGAGGAAATTCCCTGCTCTCTTTTCCTAGTGTTTATTTTATTTGTACCATTAAGTTGTCCATGGGTTGAATGTTCAGAATGTTCTGTGTTGCTGTGATTTGCAAAGTGGGAAGTCTGATATTATTAGGCCTTCATTTATGAAACTCTGATAGCTCTCTTCCTAAACCTTGATTACCATCTATTTTCTAACTGTTATCTGGACAGAATTTGTGAAAATCTCAGCATTATTTTGTGATTTCATGTCTGCAAAGTATGACTTAACCAGTGGCTGCACTGATGATTTAGCAGGGAAAGAGAGCTACCCTAACTTTTATGAAATCAAATTAATTGATGTTTATCTATGTGGAAGACTTAAACTGTGTGTCCTAACAGACTTACTGTATGTGTTCAGCTTGTTATAAAAGGTGCCAGGACCAGATGACTTGTACAGTTGGGGGTTATTCTTTATCTTGTAAAAGATTAGGGAAGCTGTGGGGAGGATCCTTCACACACTCGGGAACTACCATCCTTTTGTTGAAAATGAAAACAGCCAGCAATTGACAGAAAACTCACAAATGTCATTGAAGTAATACAGCAGGAAGGTTAGRGGTGGGGAGGAATGTAAGCTTTGAGACAAGCTTTGTCTGAAAAGTTAAAAATGTACTCAAATTTAAATGCTAATTGCAGTTTTTATTACTTTTGCAGTTCTGGCCAGTGTCAGTTTCTTACAAGTCTGAGAAGCTTCACTTCCCTAATTTTTAAGTCCATAGTGAACCTGCATCACTTTGGTGATGCAGAAGAAATTGGGCCACAGGAATGTGGTAAACCCAAGCATATGGTGTTGTTTTGGACTCGTTCCAAAATGTCGCCAAATGATATCAAGGCTTGGTGCAAAAGGTCTGTTCTGCTGCAAAGTTCAGGTTTTCTGACATTTATTATTATATGTGAGATCATGGGTTGTGATATACCAAGGTTCAGGTACATTTTTCTGCCAATCTCAGATCTAATCTTGGAGTATGGAGAGCATATGAAATAACTCAGGTGTTGGAGCCTGGTATGTGTATCTGCCTGTTGCATTTTTGAGGCAAGATGATTATTTGTTCACTCAAAATCTCTCTTTTAGTAGCTGGATTTTTTTTTTTTTGGCTAGTGAATGAAAAGGGGTGTACACTTAGTTCTTTTTGCTGTAAAGTAACTACTGTGGTAAGTCTGTATAGAGTTTTTGTAGTGTATACAATAGTGAGGTGTCTATTTTGTATGGCTACAAAAGTAAGGCCATATCAGATAAAAGGGACACGAATGAAACATCTGGAGAAGATCCTTAACATCATGTGCATGTTTGAATCTGTGTTTTGTGCCCAGAAGGCAAAGGCTGCACTCAATGGAGCAGATATCTATGCAGGATGCTGCACACTAAAAATCGAATATGCAAGGGTAATGCTTGGACCTTCTCTTTTAATTTTACTAGGAAAAAATGACATTTAGTCAAGACTTAACCTCTTTCACTTTTACTTTATTTGAACAGCCAACTCGACTTAATGTCATTAGGAACGACAACGATAGTTGGGACTACACTAAGCCATATCTGGGCCGCCGAGGTAGGTTGTGATCCATTCTCACTGTAGCTGTTTGACTGTACTAATGGCAGCCCTTCAGACGTGGTCAGGCTGGGTGGCAGCAGTCCTTCCAAAGCAGGCCAGTGCTGCTGGAGGCTGTGCCACCGCAGGGAGTTAACCCTGAGCCCTAGTGCCCCCTACTGCCGTGTGCTTGAGCCATTTAGTGCAACAAGGAGCCCACACCTCCAAGCACCTTCGCAGTTCTCAAGGACTTGCATTTCTCCAAGCAGCTCTCTCTCTTTGGAGGAGAGGAAACCTGGCACAGACTATTCCTTATAAACTACAAACTTGCACACTGCTTCTCCTTCGAAAGAACTCTTTTCCCCTATGTTGGACAAGGCATTAAGAAGGATAGAGGACTTCAGCAGGCTGACTCTACACTTCATCATGCACCACATCGGCATCAGCAAAAAAAAAAAAAAACCAAACAAACAAAAAAAACCCTCTGAAAAACCTCAGACTTGCAGTTCACCTTGTCTGCATACTGCATGCACCACCACCACCAGTTTTTAAAGGAGGACATTTTCAGTACTTCAGATTTGTATGGGATGAATAACATGATAGACTGTACCCATTTTGTTCAAGTTTGTATGTATGCTGGTCTTATTTCCCTTAAAATTACCACTGCAAAAGCGAGAAACTCCAAAATTAAGAACCTCTTGTTGATATCATTGACGTTGTAATCTTTTTATTACTTGCTGTATGTYAGACTTAAGAGTGTAAAYATTGTCTAGTAGTAGGGAGATTCAATCCTTTTATGCAGATAGTTGGAATTGAGCAGTGCAATATCAATAAGTCCCCTCAGCTATACTTAAGTAATAAAGTAGGGAGATTCATAATTGGTACAGGCATACTGTCTCTTAAATACTCAGCTGTAAAAACTCTCAGAGCTTAACTCATGTCAGTGGAAACTATGATTATATATGTACAGTCAAACTGCTGTCTAACCTAACTCCTGTAAAGTGTTTATTTAAAAATAACCAAAAATCTGTAACTATTGAGTGCAGTGTTCAGTAACCTATGTACAATAATGTGTTCAATGTAAAGTTAGAAAAGTGAAGACAATGTGACCAAGATAGAGTATCTACTTACCAAAGGCTGCATGAGAACCAGGGTTTTGGCTGTCTCAAGAGATTTGCACTTTCAGAGTAATTCTGCAGAGACACTGGGCTTGTGGAACTGTTGTACAAYTAAAAACTTAGGCTTTGGCTTTTCAAAATGAAGTTCTTGTAAAAAGTTAACAAGGGAGCTACAGTATTGGTTTCAGCTTGTAGATTATTCATATTTGGATTCAAATTTTTTCTCAAATTCTGGAGTCAAAGAAAAGGGATTCTGAAGGAACTCAAGGACAAGAAAAAAATCTAAAGATTTGAATTTGAAAAATTAAAAGGATTCATTTGTCCCTTGTATCTTTTGATGATTGCAGTGTTTGGAGGCTGACTTGTAACACTGTGCATCTAATTATATTATGTAATTGGTTTGCAGATAGGTATGACTGTATGAACTAAAATTTCCCCAAACTAGAGCAAACAGTGGAAAATGAAAACTTAGGGTAGGTGTGGCTTGCTCTTKCTCAGGAACTCTACTCTTGTTTTTCAGTTGTTACTGTCTCTAATCTCTATACATCACTCTACTTCACATAAGAGAAAAAATATTAGTCTTACATGATATATATACATATATATATATATCATTACATATTGTATGTAGCATGATTTTTCACTTACTGTGAYCCACATCCATTTATCTAGACAATGGGAATATAAATTGTTGAGTGAWTAGTGTAATATACTTGAGAAAACAGGCATCTGCAGCAGTTCAGCCTGCAAAGTAATCCAGGAGTTGGGGTTTTCTTTGAGAGGAAGAGTTTATGTATTTGTCCTTCAATTTACTCTTGCAACAGCGTTATTTGGGTTTTGAACCTAATGTTCAGCCCTGCAGCCTGAAYTGTAGGGCTCTCATTRTAGCCCARAGGAATTTAATTCCAAGGACAGACATGCTAATAAATCCTTTCAGAATTTCACAACTGCCCCTCAAGTGTTAGGAAGGAAATGCATTTTGCTAATGATTTTTTTAACTGTTTTTAGTTTTTTTATGATATCAAATTAAAGGCTTGCCCATAGTATTTCTCTACTAAAGTAAACTTCYTAACAAGTGCCTGCTGCTAKRAACCCCTATTGTGTTAGATTGAACRAAAACACTCCATCTGATTCAGTATTCCACCTGCCTTTGGCCAAAAGGTTTGGCTGAAAAAATGGAGTTTGGAGCATTTCTTTTGCTGGTAATACCAGCTTGCTCAGTGACTCAAGAACCTGTTTAAAAACAAAACCAAAAGTCAAGAAACCCAACCTTAAACAAGATTATAAAGAACCTTTTCTTTGAGACTTATTTTAAACACAGGTCTGTTCTCATGTTTCAATGCATGTTTACACAAGTATTTGTACTGGCACAATCCAGGGGCTTTGTTCAAGGAAGGAACAAAGGGGGCAAGGAGAGAGCAGTGGACTGCACCACCACGAGGAGGAAATATTTGTCAAACTTTTCTCACAGAATTCTGTATTTGAAGAATGACATTTTTTGCTGTGTTTTACTGTGGGCAGTTTCAAAGCATTTAGTTCCACAGACTRGAATTACAAAACTGATTTTTCTGAAAGATGATCACTGCATACAATTTAAATGCTCAAAATACTGATCTGGCTGCTCATTTGCTTTCTAGAGCCAAGAACCAGAGCTGTTGCCCTGAAAAGGGAGTGGAAAAGTAAACTTGACAACAGTAATCTTTCTTCTGTATGTTTGAAAGTGTTCAGGACTGTTCTCTTCAGACTTGATTGCCAAAGTAAATATCTAACTTGGAACTTGTCCTCAAAATCCTGAGCAGAAAGGGCCACATGTGTTTTCATCTTCCACTGTTGTGTAATCAAATAATTCCCGTTTTTCGGGGGAAATACACTCCAACTGCATTGGACTGGAGTTACTATTTTCAGCAGTCATATGTAAATTTCTTGRGAACTGTTGTAAACTGATAAATGCCTTGCCCCATCTTTTCAATGTGGCTTTTTTTATAATTGTAAGAAAGGAACTGTTGCTTACCACAAAGAAATCTAGAAGTTTAGATTTTTTTGTCGTGCGGCATGGATCTGATTGGAAAATACAGCTTTGGCTGTGAGGCATTGCTTCCCTCCATTAATGTAGACCCCTTGCTTAACTTTATATCCTAGAGAATTGGGTTTTCTTAAAGGATTGACTGTTGTTTAAGTGCATTATTCAGTACAATTTTCCCTCAGTTGAACTGTTTTGTGCTGCTGATAATGCCACAATGTACAATCCTTTCAGCATGCCCATAAATCAGTAGGTGTTCTGTAAATATATATGTACACATATGTAATGCTCTCTGTTTACTGATTATGAAACCATGTAATACAGGTTGTTGTTGGCTTATGCTGAAACTTCTTGAAAGAAGCCCACTTTGAAAATGTGTTGCTGTTGAAGCTAATATTATGATTCAGGTACTGTCTTTCAAAAGTACTGCATTTCAAATTTGTTTTAAGAGACACATGGGTAAATCCTGCTGTATGGTGTTTTCTATACTAATGTGTGGTGTCTGTTTAGGAAAACTATTGGGTATCTCCATAAACCTTAAATGTCTGCATCTCCTCATTGGCCACTGCCCCCAATCAACTTAAGAGCAATTTGTTATACAGATGGCAGTCTTTTAATTTTGGTGTCCCAGGGATACAGCTTGTGTTTTTAGACATAGAGTGAATGAGAAATTGTTTATAAAATTAACAAGGACTCAAATTACTTTTTTCACTTCTTAACTAGAAGCTTTGTGTCTTAACTGGAGAAATCAAGTGCCTGGTTGTGCATACTAAACTGGTTTCTTTCCCTTCCCACGATAGACAGAGGGAAGGGCCGGCAGAGACAAGCTATTTTGGGAGAGCACCCATCATCCTTTAGACATGATGGCTATGGTAAGTAACGTGGGATGACAGCTGGTTATGAGTTCWTGTATGCTGTGTGGAATTCTAAATATTTAATCAATGCTTGGCTGTGGATCCCTTCAGCATGAGCAGTTCACCTGCAGTGCTCTCCCTCTGCATTCTGAAGCACTGTTGGACCAGTGAATCCRTGTGCACTCATTGCCTCACCTCTTCCTGTCACCCAGAGCATTTGGCTCTRCAGGTTTATTCCTTGGATGAATGTTTCCTTTTGGTTGCCATCACCCTGGCAATGGGTGGAAAATGACATCTGGATTGGAAAAGCAGTTTTTTTTCTAGAAAACAGCAACATAGCTTGATCACTGGTTTGGTACAACACGGAGCTCTCATGTTCTTGCATGCAAAGCTGGGAATTGTTGGTGTTGGCACTTTTAATTTAGCTGATTCAGGAAAGGTAKAACTATATGACTGCAGAGGAATAATGTTTTGGAATTAGTGCTATAAAGTACTGCATTTATTATCAGCACTCTCTGTAAAGGAAGACCTAGTGTCACGTTCATGTGCTGAACAAAGACCTCAGGTTTGAGAAACAAATGTCCCCACTCACATGGGACTTTTCTAGTTAYTCACTCTCTCAGCTGTTAGGGGCAATGTGATTTGTCTTGCCTCTTTCTTTGCAAAGGTATTTTGACATTTTACAATGTAGGTTGACATCTTACCTGCTCCTTCCAAAGRTTCTTCAAATCTCCAGAGTTTCCATGTTCCTCCTTGATCCAGTGATACTTTTTTTCATTCTTCTGAATGAAAAAGAATGAACTCYTTCCACCTTAAGTAGTGTGTCTGTCTCCTATACCAGCTGTCTCCCTGTTATTACTACTTTTTGCTGGAAAAAAAAAGATAAAACATTCCTTTTATACTTGGCTTATGTGAATTTCACATTATTTTTGTCTCAGAAAAACAGGGATCTTCCCCTTGATGTGTAATACTGACATTTTCTATAAACAGAGGTATTGCTTACTAGTAGTGTCTCAACACTAAAAGAAGAAAAAAAGGAAATTTCATGGAAATAGACAATTTGTCAATTTATAGTGGAAAACGAGACCACTTCATTTTGAATTAGTGTGGGGGTTTAAGTATTCTTGTTTCTTCCAAATGAGCATTTTGTAGAAAGGCAGSCTTCTGACTTAATCTCATGTCTCTGGGAAGAAGAGCTGTGTCATCTGCTGACCTCTGGCTCACTCCTTTTGGTTTGTTTTCCTTGCTTTGTAATATTCTTTCTTGGAGTCATGTAGCTCTGTAAGTGGATGGGAATATTTCTGAAGGTTGATTTTAATTATYTCCTCTGATTCGTTTGTGTTCAAATATTTTGCACGGTTCAGGGAAGATAATAATTTTTGTAATTACTGCCATATCTTTTTTTCAGCAACTGCTGTAACCTTCTCCCCCTCCTTTTAATCTGCATTATGTATGTGGGCTTTGATGCATGATTAAGTAGTGAAAATTATTTCAAACCATCTGAAAACATGGTCTTTCATCTCCTTAGGCTCTCATGGTCCTTTGTTGCCCTTGCCAAGCCGGTACCGAATGGGATCTCGGGACACTCCAGAACTTGTTGCTTATCCCTTGCCCCAGGCATCCTCCTCTTACATGCATGGTGGAAATCCTTCTGGGTCAGTTGTCATGGTTAGTGGGTTGCATCAGCTCAAGATGAACTGTTCAAGGGTATTCAACCTGTTCTGCTTGTATGGAAACATTGAGAAGGTAAGGCATCATTTATTAGGAACTTGGACACTACTACAGTCCTTTTAAATGCTTTGGGAAAAGCCTGTCTGAGATGATCTAAAAATATTTCCTAATAATTTACAAAACTATTTGTCGGGCTCTTTGTTGCAAAGCCATTTTTTTAACCTTATCTGTCCTAGGTGAAATTTATGAAGACTATTCCGGGCACAGCACTGGTTGAAATGGGTGAYGAATATGCTGTAGAAAGAGCGGTCACACATCTCAATAATGTCAAGTTATTTGGAAAGAGACTCAATGTCTGGTAAATATGTTTTATCAGATTAATAGTCCACCAGTGGGCAGATGGAATGAGCTTTCAAAGGGACAATATCACATTACTCTGTTATCGTTGTTGGAGTTATGATTTCCAATTTGCAACTGTTTATTTTGGCTTTCAGCTGAAGGAGGGTGGATTTAGGTTAGATATTAGGAAGAAATTCTTTACCCAGAGGGTGGTGAGGCACTGGTACAGGTTGCTCAGAGAAGCTGAGGATGCCTTGTCCCTGGAAGCATTCAAGGCCAGGTTGGATGGGAATTTGAGCAACCTACTCTAGTGGAAGCTGTTCCTGCCCATGGCTTGGAATGAGATCATCTTTAAGGTCCCTTTCAACCTYGACCACTCTAAGATGTTTTGCTATTTATAATTTTATTTATTTACATCCATAAAACATATTGTCTTTATGTGGATTGGCCACTAATAAACTGTAGTTCCTAGTGTGTCTTATCCATCTTTTCTGCTTTTTTTTAAGGAAACTGTCACATCCAATCTGTCTTGTTCTCACTGTATTTATTTCAAATTATTATAAAGAAATGTCATCTCTTTTGTGGTAGGATGATAATCTGCCAAGTATGATAGCCTTAATTATTTAAGAAACTYTATCCTTAAATTCCAGTGTTTCCAAGCAACATTCAGTAGTTCCAAGCCAGATATTTGAACTGGAGGATGGCACAAGTAGTTACAAGGATTTTGCCATGAGTAAGAACAATCGCTTCACCAGTGCTGGCCAAGCATCCAAGAACATCATCCAACCACCCTCCTGTGTGCTGCATTATTACAATGTTCCCCTGTGTGTGACTGAGGAAACGTTTGTAAAGGTAGGCATTTGGAATAACCTGATATCCAATGCTTTGGAACTCTGTCCTGGCTTTATGTGGTGCTACTTTTTAATGCAAACAACTGGGATGATTAGAGCAGAGCTACTGGAAGAGAAATGCTCTTTAAAACACATTTGTAGCCCCTCTGGATATGGTCACAATTCTGGTGCTATTGTCTCAATTTTATTTTTCTGTTTGTTTATATTCTTTTAGTGTGAGAAACAACATCTTTGAAATAAAGTTGAAGAACTTAATGTGAGAGTTTTTTTTGGAGGAAAGGGAAAAGACACAGATCCAAATACATGAAAGTTTGCAGACTTCCTGGTATGGTTGCCCTAATGACTGCTAGGATGTTTTGGAATGGAGAGAARCATGCACTTGGGACACTTGGCTCAGTTGTATCCTAAACAAACTCTGGTTGCTTAAAGCATGCAATACTGGGCCTGTTCAAGTGGAGGCAGTGCTAAGATTGCTGACAGCTCAGTGAATTCTTTTTCAGTTCAGTAAAACATATTTTTCAAACTCTGTCTGAAAGTGAACTCTGCTTCCCAAGTGATCTCCTTGAATGTACAACTTCTGAGCTACTGTATTGGAGTAGGAATGTCAAAAAGCAGAGCTTGTTATTATTTAAATACATTTCTTGTTATTATCTAAATACATTTTTGGAGATTGTAGTGATATCACAGGTACAGGAGCCTTGTTCTGCATATGGTAGAATGGTATTCTAAAGAGTTACCAATCTAAACATATTTTAAAAATAATATGCTATAAGTTCTTGCAAGCTCTCTTAAAGAGTCAGAATCCTCCTTTTTGTGTGTCTCTTCCAGGAACTTGGAATTTTTGCTAATTTGGTTATATGTATTTTTGCTGGAGTTTTACCTCTTATTTTATTTTTGTGACAGTTATGTGAGGATCATGAAGTTCTCAGCTTTATCAAATACAAAGTGTTTGATCCAAAACGTAAGTAAAATTTGACCAGTTTGGGAAATTACTTGATTCCAATTTTGATCTGAGTATGCACAGTCAGGAGACWTTACTGATCCACTCCCTCCCTTTTTTATTTCTCATTTTGACAGCTTCTGCCAAAACATTGTCTGGTCTGTTGGAATGGGAATGTAAGACAGATGCAGTGGAAGCTCTCACTGTACTTAATCACTACCAGATAAGAGTCCCAAGTAAGTAAATTTTCCTAATCCTACTGCTGGAAATTTTCTTCTTGGAGAAGGACTTGTGGGTTCTGGTGGCCACAAAAATGAGTAACATGGTTTAATGTGTGGTATCCCTGCCCATGGCAGGAGGTTGGAACAAGATGATCCCTTCCAACCAAACGGTTCTGTGATTCTTTCACAATAAATAGAAAGAAATCTGCAATGTCTTGAGCAGAACATTCTTGAAGTTACTCAGCTCATTGCTCACCACTTACTGCTCCTGTAACATGTTCCCTTTGAAACCAGAAATTGTGAGGCCAAGCTGAATTAAGCTCCAAACTAGAAGGAACAGAGTGGGGTGAGTTCACCTGCTGAAAAAGTACATAGTAGGCCAGATCTGTACTGAACAATGAAGACCCTTTACTGGATTAAATGGAGTTTTTCCAGGTGTTCCCAGACATAATTTTGAATCCAAGCCAGTGTCTAATATTATWTTAAACTACCTCCTCCTAACTAATATGAGTTTGTCTCCCTGTGAAGTGTTACTAGTTTAAATCTTTTCTGTTCTCCCACACCTTTGGCCCACCGTGTTAGTAATGGACCTCAGGGGCAGGACATTTTGTAAGATACTATTGATAACATACTGTTCACAATTTCAGTTTTACCTGAGTTGGAGARGTGGTAGCAGCAGAAAAGCTTTCTCTTTCAACATGAAAAAGGCAAAACTCCAATGGAGGTGTGAGTGTTGAATACACAGAATGGTGAACTTGGCAGGTTATGGAAGGTGGATCAGCAGCAATGCTGTGCTCASTGAGATGCCCACAATGTGTTCTGTGTTGTCTCCTCACAGATGGCTCCAACCCTTACACTTTGAAGCTTTGCTTCTCTACTTCATCCCATTTATAGAGGACAGCATGATAAGAGCTACGTTCACCTGGATTTGCAAGTTAAAAACTACACTTCGTTCACAAAGCTCTAAAGTGGTTGTTCTAATGTTGCCTTGTTTCAACTTATTAATTCTAATATCTTTTATCTTGTTTTATAATAAATGGATGTTCCTTCATAAATACAAACCAGATTTTTTTTTTCTTTTTGCCTCTGAGAAGTACATGTTGTAAGCTTACTACAAAGTTTGTATTTTGTTAGTGTAGTATCTTCAAATGTCTAAAGAAGCACCAGTAGTATAAASAAGATTGTTTCTTTTCAAAAAATGAAATATATTTGCATTTTCAAAATGTTAAAGATTAGCAAGTATTTTTCCATTTGTAGTCTTAATTGGCAGATAGAACTATTATAGCAGAATTTTAAATGTAGAACTTGTTTTTCAGTTTGTTAAGTAGTGAAGTATGTTGCAATACTAAAAAGCAGCTTGTATTTATAAAATGCTTTGATCGGGTTAATGTTGCACATACTGAACTTTTAGTAGCATAGACTTGATTTATAGTTCCAACAGAGCTAACGTAGAAAATTATTAAGTATGTACACGTGTATGGTATGAATTCATACTTATTTAAAGTGGTTTTGTTTTTTTTAAAAAAAAATATTTTCCATTTGCATTAGCATGATTCCATCTATAGCTAGTCCCACCGTAGGGGCCTTTTAAAAATTAAAGTTGCAAGCCTGACTCAATGTCTTCATCCTCATTTTCCATAACTGAAACTTAAATCTTTGGTGTTTAACATATCCTTTTGACTCTTTTTTTTTTTTTTTTTTATCAGTTTTTTTTTTTTTTTTTTGTTTTTTTTTTTTTTTTTTTTTTTTTTTTTTTTTTTTTTTTTTTTTTTAATCAGTGGTTATGACAAACTACATGGGAAAAGTTGGGGGAGGTGACAAGATGGATTGCAATAGAAAACAAGGTGGTAAAAACAGTTAAAACAAAAAGAAAGCCTCCACCAAATCCTTTCATACCTGGATAGTTAATTCAATGTTCTCTTTTGTCTGATTTATCTTAAACATCTATTATGACCATGAAAGAATTCATTGGGTGAATAGTCTTGGCTTGTTCCTAGTATAAGCTGAGTAATCTCAATGGGATTCAAGTAAAGTAACTGATGATGTGATGTAAAATTARCAAGGCGAGAAATCTTTCAGTTTGGAGATGATTTATTCTGTCCCAGCACTTTGAAACTGTCTTCTGGAACTGGAGTTGTGTCTTATTTGGGCTAAACCCCAGAAAAGGGAATCCAGGCAGGGAAGTCTTGGAGCTGTTTTCCTAGGCTCTGTGTGTGTTCCCCTTTCTGAATTTGCAGCAAAGTGTTGAGGGCTTCTTTCAGTTCTGCTCTTAGTCATCAGAGAGAAGTTATTTTATCAGCTATTTTGTGCTTTATCCTACAAGTTCTTTGTTCTGTCTTTATGGATTTTATCGACATCCATCCTTTATGCAAGATGATTTGTGCAGTGTGCTTATCCTTGAGAGGTTATGCTGTGGGATGTTTACAGGCTGTAGGCWCTGCACATATTTCAATACAGACTGGATTTTCCCTGTTCTTAATTTCAAGGCAAATATTCCTTATCATACGAAGGAAAATCTGTCGGATGTCCTTCTGGTTTTCTCATCAACAATGACCATTTTTGCCCTGTCTACCTCCATTTTGTTCATGCTTCAGGTAATGAGTATTTCAGGTATTCACATCAGGCTTTTAATATKTCTGGACTGGGAACTGAAAACCAGCTGCTCTTTTGGCAGCTCTTTCAGCACAGGTTTTGGAATAATCCCAGCCTCCTGTCTGCGAGGTGGCAAAGAAATTTGCATTTTAGGGGCACTGCTGAGACACTCAGCCTCAGTGCTCTTCCCCCAGAAAGTGGTGCCAGACAGCTCCAGTGCAGAAGTCCATGTGCCATATCTTGCTGCTAGTGAAATGCTCTGCACTGCTTAGTGTTTTTAATGGTAAAAGATCTCTCCCAATCTCATTTCTTTTCCATCAGCTCAAATGTTCTGCGGAAACTTGTTTCTTCTGTCATAACTTGCATTACTGGTTGTATTGATGTGGTTCCAGAAGTTGTTTGTAGTTGAGCATTAAAAATAGTCTGTTGTCAATTTGGTAATGTGGCATGAGTGACCCTTAAAGCATTCAAGTTTTATTTAGGAAAAAAAAAAAAGATAAAAGAAATGCACTTTAATGTTTTGGTACCTTCAGTGGATTTGGAACCTCACAGTGTTTAGTGCCTAAGATGTTCAGGTGAAAGGCATCTTTCCTGTGTCTTCCCAGATCAAATGGAGCATAGTTCCAGGTATATCTAATAGAACTTGATAGCAGTTGAAAGACCCATATGCAAAATGAGTAGCCTGTGCCATGTGGGGCAGAAAAGAGAGGAGACTGAAGAATTGTGYGAGCTTCCTTCTCCATAAAATAATCATCTTATTCATGTATTCATGAGGACAGGAAAGATTCCTTGTTGGTGTTCTGCTGGTAAATTAAAATAATGTCTTCTCTTGGGCCTAGAAGGATGGGTGCTTGTCCTGAGGAAGGAATGAGGTTGGTCTTCTTCCACACATGAGGCCTRTGTTCACCTTTAATCTTGCTCTTTAGAACAGAGCCAAAACAGGGGGGCAGGTGGGGAGTTAGTTGTTCTGAGGGGAGTGAAGTTTGCCTGTCATTTGGCAGTTGCACCATACTTGCTAGATGAAAATTAAACCTTTAAGGTCTCTTAATGCAGGTTTTTTTCTGTATCTTTTGCATGAGTCATAGAAGCAAAACATTGAACATTGCTRTGCACATTCCCTGCTTTAAGCAGCTGTCATTAACACTGTAATGTCTTCATGTCTGTCCCACTGTTTGTTTTGTTGGGTTTTGTTTGTGATGTTTTGTTTGGTTTCCCAATCGATCACCTTTCATTGGAGGTTAGAATATATTGAGGTAGAGATATGTTCCTCTTCTCTCATGATATCTAATTCTTGTTTATATTTATTTTTCCTTATATTCAAGAAGTGTAAAGAGTTGTTTTTTTGACTTTCTATACCACCACAAGATAGAGTCTATTGTTAGGGTGATGAAAGAGAAGATTTAAAAGAAACCCTGGAGGATGTGTTTGGGTGTCCTGCTTTGTGAAAGGAATGATACAAYTGAATGTAGTGTCTGTCTTTTAGTAAGGGATGATGTTTGGGGCAAGCTGGCTTGTTACTGGCTGAAACCCTTTTGTTGTAATTAAATGCAACTTGCTCCTTTTCCTGCTGTGTGTTTTCTTGTGAACAGCTCTTGTACCTGTTTGAATGTGCTGGTGGCTTAGCAGGAGACATTCAGTCTCTTCTGTTAAATAATGCATCGAGGTGTGGGAACATGAACACTCTTGCTCAATTATTTTTTCATCTCAGGGATATGTTTAAACATACTTGGGATTTTTTTTGGTGTGTCCTTTTCTTTGAAAATACCTTGCATTCCTACACCTGTAGCTACCAGTGGGTTTTTTAGCCATTCCAGGGTTTCATGTCTACTTTATGTCTATTTTTATGTCTGATCAGTCAGAGAGAAGTGTGCTGCATGACTGATTTGTTTGAAATTCAAACAAGTCCTCAGYTGCCCCATTAATATTGACACTTGTGGGGAAGGGTGATCAGATGTGCTCACTCCTGTGATAATGTGATGTTTCTACCATGCCATTTGGGTTCCTTAGAACCACAGTCTGAGGTAAAAGTATCCTGAAACAAGTACCTGTTCAGGGTTTTTGGGATGATGAGGTCCTGAAGTTCTACTGCAAAAGCATCTGATTTGACAAAGGGTCAATCAATTTCTATTCAGTTGTATTACCAAGTTAAAAGAGCAAAATATGTGTGTTCTGTTTAGTCTCCTACTGCATAATCGTCTTTCCCTGTTAAAAATAGAGGATTTCTTTCTTCAAGGACTGTAATTCCCACAGGATGTGGAGGAACCTAATGCAGCCAGGTGACTTGTGCTGTGTTTTGTGCTGTGACATGGCTCTGTGAAGGAAGTAACCTCAGTCCCTTTTCTTGTGTTCAGAAAGCTTTGTCTGTCCTGGCCTTTCCCAGCCCGCTCCCTGGGCTGGAGCCATACATTAATTCAGATGGGTTCCTGCTCTTCCTCTTCACTGTTGCAGCTGCTGAAGCATGATCTTGATTTCTGGCACAATTTATTTAACTTTTCCTTCTCTGCTGTTCATGGAGCAGCTGCAGCCTGAGAGGGTCTTCATGCAAGGGAATGAGTCCTGCAGGAATGTGCCAGGGAGCCAGCAGCTATGGCAAGATAATTAGCCCTCTTTTCCAAAGCATCTGGGATCCAGGAAAACAAATTAATCCTGGCAGGAGCAGTATAGCAGTATTCAGAATGAAAAACTGGAATGGGGCTGGAGGATGGGGGATGGCTGAAGTTGGCAGTTGGAGCACAATGCAGGATGTAATTACTCAATTTCATATAAGTCATTATCTGTTTATTTTCTCTGGCCATCTTTCCATTTGTGGTTTCATCTTTCTTCAAGCTACTAAAAAAATTAAGTTGTTTGTGCTCCATTCAAAATTCAAGTGGGTAGCAGTCAAATAAGCCACCACAAGTTACTAGAGTGCTTCTTAGTGAAAATCCTAAAATTTTCTGTCTCTTAGGCTGTGAATACTTTGGATATTTCAGGAAGCACAGTTTGTATTTAGGTGATGCTTTCTCTATCAACAAAGTGCAAATTTCTGGCCATTTGAAACTTAATGGCATCGCTGCAGGGATTTGCATGAAGTATAGATTATGCTTCTATTTTCACTTCTGTTAACCACAGCACTGTAACTGCTAAATCAGATTAAATCAGTGAGCTTTAGATAAGCATCCTGTCAAAAGGCTTCAGAAGTGTCTAAGAAATAGCCTGGTCAGACAGTGACCTGGTAATCTTTGAAGTTGCTGCATGGCCTCTGACTGAACCATGGCAACYTAAAATGTCAGTAGTTGAAGGTGGGAATCCCATTTACTGAACTTTGAATTCTCTCATCTTGGGGTGCACTTGAAATCCGAAACAAACTCCTGAGTTCTGAGGATAGAGTTCAAACTGGAATATTTTAGTTACACTCAAATATGATCACCTTGCCCAATATTTTGGGGTGTTTTTCTGTCTTTTTATTGCTCTATGGGCAAAGCCTTGTCTGTGCCTTTTTAAGGATGCTTTATGTGCCCCTAACTCTTCCTTTTTGTGTCCTTTTAGCACGAAGCAGACCTAACCAGAGGATTCCAGATTGGGACTGAGCTGTTGGCTTATTTCAAAGCTTTTCAGAGTAACATGTTCTCTAGTCTTGCTTTTTTCAGCTATAGCTTTTATCTAATAATAATTAAAACAACCCTACCTGAGGTAGTCTGAAGGACTGATTTCTCTCATGAAGAGAAACAGGGTGATAACACTTCACCAGGTCTTTAAGYATATGGACCCCAAGTTCACAGATGACTGCAACCCTGCTCTTCTTGCTTCCTTCATCATTGGCAATAACACATCATTCTTGTTTGGGTGCTGCTTCTGTCTGTCCCTGCCATTGCCTCCAGTGCTCCCACCTTTGATGACCCTAGCTTTGCAAAAAAAAAAAAAAAAGGACTTTTTATCTCCCAAAACTTCCAAACGAAGCTTGTTCTTATGTCTTCTGCACATTTTGAAAATTCTGAAGAAATAGGGCAGGGATATTCAAGGATGCAAGGACAACAGAAGCTAATACTACTTTTTGAAACTGGCAGGAAGAAAAGAATTGTAGCTCCTGGCCTGAGCCTGCCAGCACAGCCTCCAT